ATGCCAGACCTAAGTCAAACCATTTAAACTGTTACTTTTGTATTACTGGCAGACAAAAAAGGCGTTAAGACAACAACCATTATTCTGAATAAAGAAGGCCACCATGTCATCATGATAGAACTTTTATCAAAGAGCCAAAAGGCTGAACTTAAATGCGCTCAAAAACGTAGCCGAGAAATATATAAAACACGATGTTCAGAGTTATACGAAAGTTGCCTCGATAAAATATAAAAGTGCACTATTTCAGAGTGGGGCAGTTCCAAGAAGTAGCAAAATCCAGCGAGTGGCCATGAGCATGGCAGTCAAATGAGAGTCAAAGTCAAGTTGACAGGACCATTAAAATAGAAGCCATGAGGCTTGGAATCAGACTGGTTTTCTACACGAATGTTGAAATCATCCAGGATTGTGACAAGATTAGGTGTAGAAACTCTGAATGAGATGTAAAAGTCTTTGACCAAAAGACCAATACGTTGTTTTTATTTTAGAAAGCCACCTTTGGAAGATGTCCAGAATGGCCATAAAGTTGTATGTGTATTGGTCTGGGATATTTAAACGACAACTAACAGAAAGTGCAAGTCTCACTGGCTTATCCAATAAGGAAAGACATTTGTTAATATAACTGAGAGTTCTGAGGCAGGGTGCGTTTCATGGTTAACTGTGCCAGTAATTGAAAGATGTAAAGATCCAGGCTAAATCTCGACCCAACCACTGTTGGATTGGACATTGGATTATTGGATTAGATTAGACTAATTCCGGGCACACTCTTGGAGCTAAGAAAGTGGCCATATATCCCCAAGCACATGACTGTATTGGGAGGAGATACACTGATGGAGGCCCGAGCCTTATCAGGAAGGTAAAGAATGTGTATTGTGTAGGTAAACAAAAATGTCACCTGCAGGCACAGACTCAAATCCTATATACCACTATGAGTGTAGTAACCACAATCTTCAAGTCCTTCTTGTTTCCAAACAGAATGACTCTCAGGATAACAAAGACAGATACTTTTGTTCAGGAGCTACCTATATTGAATTCATGAATAGGCAGTTACAAAGCATGAGAGTTCTCCCCTGTGCAGTGTATGTTTTGGAAGAACCTCCAGAGGCATCCACTGTGGGATTCTTAAATCCCATATTCATTCTCTTTCAACTCATCGGCAAAGTTTTCTATTCAGTGTTGTCCTGAGATGATGTTGCGTCAGGATAATTTGACTAGCAGTAAATGAATTCTTCATATTTACTGTTAAGCTTTATCTTTCTGTCAACACCAGCACAGACTTCATAAAGATATTGAAGATCCTCAGATTTCAGTACGGAGCAATCTTAAGAACTGTGAGATTTAAGAATCCCATAATGGATGCCTCTTGAGGTTCCCTGGGTCTTTAGAAGAAAGTCAGACCTGGCCGGGCATGGTGGCTCACACCTGTAATCCCAGCACTTTGGGAGGCTGAGGCAGGTGGATGACGAGGTCAGGAGATTGAGATCATCCTGGCTAACATGGTGAAAACCCATCTCTCCTAAAAATACAGAAAATTAGCCAGGTGTGGTGAGACACACCTGTAGTCCCTGCTACTTGGAAGGCTGAGGCAGGAGAATCGCTTGAACCGGGAGGCAGAGGTTGCAGTGAGCAGAGATTGCACTACTTCGCTCCAGCCTGGGTGGCAGAGTGAGACTCCATCTCACCAAACAAACAAACAAAAAACAAAAAAATGTGGCCCCGATCACATCAGGGTCACCACCTGAGACTTTGGTCACTGCCTGCAAAAGTCTGACCTGCAGACCCTGACTCAACGATGGATGAATGAATGCACTCTCACACCATTACAGTGATACAAGTGGGCTAGGGATGGCTGTTGGCTGCTTTCAGAGGGTGAAAAGCAACCAATCAACCCAGACCCTGTGTCCATTCACACTTTTATTCCCTCAAGATTTTACAGCAGATGTTCTAAGTTAACACACTTGTGGATAATTAACATGGCTAAAATAGTGGTTATACAATGATATAAGCTTTAGGTTCCGGGGCCCAGAGTAAACACTATTAACAGGTAATTCCCCTTTGATCTCCCACGGAGAGGGCTATCTAGCACAAAGGTAACAGGAGTAAACAGAGTGGAGACAAACGGGTGTGGGGTAAAGCCTTTGATCTCTGTCTGTCTCTTTCCTATGCTAATGTTAATGAGGTGGCTGCCTTCAGCCTGCCTCAATAAAACCTTTTGGCCTTCCAAAAGGTTTGAAACTACAATCTATAACTTTCCCTAAATAGTTTCCATAATATTTTGCCGCCACCCTGAGTCAATAGCAACAAAAAAGAATTAAGTCAGACTCATATAATGTACCAAAATTAAAGAACAACCTTTTCCTCCAATACCTGCATTTATTCGTGCTTTAAAAAGAATGTTTCCATAACAATACCAAATATGTATATGAAAAGAAAATTAAAAATAAGATAATCACCCAATCTGCGAATATGCAGATTGGAAAATTAATTATCCATCTATAAATGGAAGCTCTTAATAAAGACGTTGTAGTATCGCATAGACAAGGTATGTAATGTGCTTTTTGCTCATGTTTTGCCTTAGCCTTCAACTACACTGTCAAATGAGCTTAATCATGTTCATTGGTTCATTATTTGCTAACTCCTTGATTGATTTAGCTAACTGAGCCATCTGGCCAGTGAGTCATTCTATAACTGTTGACAAACTATGTTTAAAATCCAAGGATTAAAAAAATAAAACAAACATTAAATATTCTGCATTTTTCCACAGGATTTAATCACCGATAATAATTTATCAGTGATAAGCTGATCACAAGAAACAAAGGCTAAACTTTTCATACACCAAAAAGAAAACAATGTGGCTGACTGCATTTTTTAAATGATCTGACAATATTTTCCAAGAGAGTATTTAGAACTATTTCTTGAATTGAAAAATGCGGTTGCCTTGAGCAGATACCAAGAAGCAATCTGGGAAATTTAAACTTCTCTCCTCTTAATACATTAGAAATCTTTGAATCATAATTCCTCTTTTTGTTTTTTAATGGTCTTCACAGTGGAGGGAGTTTCCACATTGTACCAGAGAGCTGCATCCTCACGAATGGCACTGCTCTTGAGTAAACACGCTCTATGGAATCCCTACGTTTTCACTCCTCTCCATCCTTTGCCTGAAAAAAGTTTTCATTGTAGATGCAATTTTGTATTTGTATGTTGTGGTAGTCTTCAAAAAGTGAGCCTATTACCTAGAGGTGTTGAATTTTACCTTGCATTGAGGGGTTGGCATATTGAGCAATTTGCCAGCGAGCACTATGTGCAACTGCTTCTCTTTTTTTCCCATTGCTTGGCACTGACGTAAAGTTACTTCTAGCGACGTTAACGAATTTCACAAAGGAACACAGAAAAATATATGTTGAATCCAATGTCGGTAATGACAGCGTCCCAGCTTATGCTTTCCCTGCTATGCTGTTGCTAGGTAAGTCATTTTACTTTCTGAAAGTTAATTTACATAGGACATCTAGTTCAGGCGTATGTATCCGTGTTCAAACCAAAAACATGAGAGTATTTATGTTTAATTTAACGACGTCACAACCGTTCTGATACTTAGGGGAGTTCTAAAGAAGTAAGTTCTAGAAAGGGAGTTCCAGTACTCCCCTTTCTCTCGTTTCTGTCTTAGGTAAAGCTACTCCTCCTAAAGCCCCTAGCACAGTTCTCCAAAATGTTCACCACAGAACAAAAAGATAAAAGAAGAGAAAGTTGTTCCCGCTAAATCTTGCCATATCACATGCAAGAGAAATGGCTTGTCAACCTGCCTCACCCAAATAAACATGGTGCCTAATAAATTCAGTGCCTAAACTGGACCCCAGACATATGAACCTTTGTCCATAGAGTTACCTTCCCCTACTGTCTGTGTATACTAGAGCGCCTACAGACTTCCATTGATGTAACTTAAAAAAAAAAAAAATCCGAACAAACTCCCGATAATCATCTCAAAGGAAGGGTTAATGATATGAGTATCAAGGCTGATGGGAGCAAAATATGACTTAAAGTAAGAGTTATAATCAGGATTTGTCTTTTGGTGAAAGAATTTGACCATAATCACCATCAATACTGAGTAAGTTCCAGTTGAGCATAGGTGGGCTAGATAAAATTCTGCTGTGCCTTTTACTGGTGATCTGTTCATCTGTATGTAATGATAGGAACTGGGGTTGGGGCAGATACCAGGTCTTGAAGTAGGCTTCCATCCTGTGACTGTGTGTAGATACTTCCTAAATCCAACATGAAATTTCATTGAAGGTTCTTTCATAAATATGTGGCCCCATTTTATATCCTTTATTTACGTCTGTCCCATAAGTAATTTTCCAGAATTATCCGAGACCCACTGATTTGCACTTCCTAGTCCTTCCTTCCAAATGTCATGATTTCCTTTGATAACCTTAGAACCACAAACACAGCCTGCTGTCCTCAGTAGTATATTGCACTTTTAAGTGTGGTGGAACATTTGGTCTGTTGAGTTTTCTTCTGCTTATTTATGTAGCCAGGCCACAGGGTGGGAACCTGGCAGAGTAATCCCAATGCTTGGATAGCACTGCTTGCCTCTGCAAGCAAACCAGAAAGACTCCACTCCACCAAATTCATTTTGGATATGCTGATGAAGCCGCACTTTCCCACACAAATCAGCAATAATGGGGTTCGTGAAATTGCGATTAACAACAACAACAACCACTGCAATGTGTACTCTCCTTCTCTTTTCTCTGTCCTTTCTGGGGAGACACAGGCAGAATAATGAAATGGTAAAATCTGATTATAATTCAGATGCTACGAATTCAAAATTGTTGTAGTTCAGGCAAGAGCCAGGTATGATGTTTTAAACGTGCTGATAGTTCTCTTTTCAGTAATTTTTATAAGAAGGAAATGTTTTCAACTAACCTCAAGCCATTTTATGCTGTCTTTTATATACACATATTTTATATATTAGTAGTGGGTTACATTTAACTGCGTCTCCTGAGGTCCTTAATTAGATTCAGCATTGACTGGTGCTATTTACTAATAATACTTGAAATTACTTAGTGGGCATTTCAAAGAGAACATCCAAGATCTCAACACGTCAGTAACTGGGTCTGGCTTCCAGTTTGTGTGAATTAATAAGGCTGAACTAAAATTAATTTCATTTGGAAAACCCGGGGGCAGTCAGAACAGTCTAGTGCCATACTGCCTGGAGGAGACAGCTGGCTTGCCACCTACAATGTCTGTGACCTCTTAGGCAAGTGATTTAATTTCCTGTGCTTCCATTTCCTTGTCTGTAAAATTCTGCTATAGTACCTACTCCATAGAGTTAGCACTCTTAAATGTGTTAACCTTTGGAGTGTGTGGCACATACTAATCACTATACACATTTTCTTTTTCAAATGGACAACTCAAATTCATCAGGTTTGCCTTAATCTCCTTTGCATCTGTATGAAATTAAGTCAACAGTGCTGACCTGTACGGACGGCTTAGGCTCTTGCAGTAGTGTAGTGTCTACGATTATGGTTTTAGTGAGGATCTTTTTCACTGTAAAGTATTAAATTTCATGTTTGTTAGAACCAAAACACATAGAATATATTATGGCAGGATAGAGGGACTGGGCACGGTGGCTCATGCCTGTAATCCCAGCACTTTGGCAGGCCAAGGTGGAGGATCACCTGAGGTCATGAGTTCCAGACCAATCCGGCCAACGTGGTGAAACCCTGTCTCTACTAAAAAAAAAAAAAAAAATGCAAAAATTAGCCAGGCGTGGTGGCCGGTGCCTGCAATCCCAGCTACTCAGGAGGCTGAGGCAGGAGAATCACTTGAACCCGGGAGGCAGAGGTTGCAGTGAGCCAGGATTGCACCATTGCACTCAAGCCTGGGCAACAAGAGCGAAACTCCATTTCAAACAAACAAACAAACAAACAAAAAGGGATGGGTGTAGAGAAAGCTCAAGTTTATCTGCTGTGGAAGGTTATCTGGAGGTACCACCGTCTCAGAACCGTGAGCATTATCAGAGGTCTGGGATTCATGAACTTAATGGTCTCCTGAAACATGTAGATCAGGAGAACTCTACAGTGGTTGCATTCTTCCCTCAGGCAGTTGACCCAAGCTGACCCACCGCTCCTAGGTACTTGAGCCTTGCCGCATCCTAAGGCTGCAGGTCACGTAGATGCCGCCATCATGCGAATACTACAATTATGAGCCCTACTGGTAGAGCTCTCCTGGTCATATCAGCACCAAGGGCTCTAAAACTTTGAGGTCGTGTGGTCTCTCTTGTCATGTTGCTGCTATGGTCATGTGGTGGGTCCAGCTCTTCCAGTCACTAGAGCATGGTGGACTCCTGAACCCTGTTGCTTACATGGATTCTTCCCTCACATGGCCATTACTGGCTACCACCATGTGGAAGTCTCAGCCCTCGAAGTCATGTAGATGTCTTCGGCATGTGAAGTCAGGGGCATGTGGATGCTATGGTCACGTACACTGTTCCCACCCACTTCTCCCCATGGCCACAGAGTCAGGCTCATTCCTCTCTGTCATGGGAAGATTGTGAGCTGCCGAACTCTGCAGATCCGTGTGTGGGCAGCCAAGTGGCTCCTACCATCATGTGGCAGGCAAAACCCTTGTGGTCACGTGAGCACCGCAACTAACCAAGGTCTGTTGTACACGTGGCTCCTGTGGTCACAGGAGATTCCACGCCCTCTCAGTCACCGGAAGATTGAACTCTCGCGAGTCTTGTCGGAGACGTACTTCCGGCAGCTGTGTGACCTGTGACCTCTCCTCTCGTCAGGTACAAGCAGCCGCCCTTCTCGTCAGGTACAGGCAGCCACCCTTCTCGTCAGGTACAGGCAGCCGCCCTTCTAGTCAGGTACAGGCAGCCGCCCTTCTCGTCAGGTACAGGCAGCCGCCCTTCTCGTCAGGTACAGGCAGCCACCCTTCTCGTCAGGTACAGGCAGCCGCCCTTCTCGTCAGGTACAGGCATCCACCCTTCAAGTGTAGGGAAGGTCTTCTGACCGTGACTTTCTGAGGAGTAAGAACTACCGAGGTAGACTACCGTTAGAACTGTGCTCCACACCCTGACTCAGGCGAAAGTTTTATCGGACTGCGGCTCAAGCTGTCCGGCAACTTTCATATCCTGCCGCGGTGGAAGGAAGTCCGGTATTAGGGGAACCAGCCATTACAAGAAGTTTTCTGAGAATTGGGCTTTAAGGGGCGGCTGAGCAATCTTCAAATAACAGAGGCTGTGTGTGGAGGTTGGGGGGGGCTTAAGCGGGCCGGGGGGTGAAGGGGTTGGGTGGAGGTAGGCAGAGGACTTTCTTAATGTGGCCAAACTTGCATACGCTTGCCGGAGAAACCGTGTGTTTGTGCGCGCATGCGCGCGCGCGCGCGTGCGTGCGTGCGTGCGTGCATGCTCTCGCGCATGCGTCTGTGTGCTTTCGCGCGCTTTATGCATCTATGTCTGCCGTCCGCCTTGATCTTGGATTCACAGGAGCTGTCGTTGGTAGAGAGTGAAGTGAAGGAGGAGAAAGCTCTGGGGCAGAATGTGGGACTAAGATGTGAGAGGTGGGGTGGGTAGCGGGGCCGCGCGGGGCGGGAATTCACAAACTTGTAAGTCGTCTGTCAGGGTTAGGGCTGTGGAAGCCCGATGGGATCCCCCCTCCCCCACCACCCCGGTCCCACACTGGAAGCCCTACCCTTTCCCCGTCACCCTGCCTGATTCACTGTTTGTGCCAGGTGATTCTCTCTTCTGCCCCTCCTCGGACCATGCTGTTATTAAGGACATTCGAGACTTCCTAGATGCCAGTTTGTATAGGCGATTCCAGACCCCGTCTTAATTTCTGTCTTTTGTTTTATTGTGTAAAGATTCTCTTTGTTTCCGTGATTTATTTTTCTACTAAACATTCTAAACATGGGCTCAGAGGGGTGGGCGAAAGGGAGAGAGGAGAAGTGCTATTGTTTTTTTTTTTAAAGAGAATTTGATATTTCAATGAAAGTGTCCAAGTCGTCATGATGTGAAGACTCAGAATTTACTTGTTATACTTTAATTGAACTTCCATTGGCTTTACAAAGTACATTGGGGAGTGGGGTGACAAATTTTATTTTGTGCTTAGGATCCCTCAGTGGCTTATAGTAGTATAGCTTGACACTCTTTTGTTTCTGATTCTTCCCCCATCACCCCCCGATTTTGTGATTGCTTCTTAGATTCCTTCCTGAAAACTCTCCTTTTCTTCCTGTGGAAAAGTATATTGAATGGATTTAAGGTACAATCATGGGTGATAACATTTGGTACGTTATGAAAGTGGCATTGGGTGAATGAAGTTGCGCTAATTAGCAAGATAGTGCTTAAACTTAGGGGGTTTTAAGTATTGCTTGGCAGATGGCTAGAGAATATTATGACTTGTGATATTTGATATCACATGCAGCTCGAATAATCGATTTTTCTCTCATTTCAGCATTTCCAAGTCTGTTCTGTGAGACACTAGGGCCAGGACAAAGCAACAACAAAATGTGCTCTACTCTAAGGAAGTGTGGGACATACAGAACTGAAGGTAAACTAATACTGTAGGAATTTGTTAGATGATCTACTAATATACACCGTTGAGTCCGAAAGGGAGGGCTACTCTCCCCAACTTATATGGGAATGGCACAGTTTTTCCATAGAGCATTTGAGGTACCAGTGTTCTTCAGAAAACATTTGGGGAAACCCTGTTCAGACTACATCTTCTAACGCTTTAAAACCTTGTGCCTTTGTTTATACTCAGAACAGTGGAGTGTGGGTTTATAGTAGTTGTAGTCTGCTCATTAGGAAATTGGTTACTGCTCTTTAATTCATTTTATTTTATGTCATTAGTCAGTCTCTCCTGCTTGAAGCTTTCCACATTTTTACTCTTCAGAGATACCGTCAAGCATGCGTCTGATACCTTGGTGGTAGCAAACAATATGTGCATAAATGCAAGTGATTAGGAAGTGTTACCTGTGGCAGCAAATAAAGTGCCCCACTCTTGAAAACAGGATACAACTTACCCGTCAGGACAAGCAGATGCAGTACTGCTCATTTTATTAAAAAAAAACCAAAAAACAAAACACACACACACACACACACACTTCTTCAGAACCATTTTGTTATTACTTAATAATTATAGCTGCCATAGTTTGAGCCCCTGTTATATGTCAAGCACCGTGATAACCTTGGCCGTCATTCAAGTTACTGCATTAACCCTCAGGAAAATCCTGAGAGGGTGTTATTTTAATTGATAGATGAGCTATATGAGTCAGGAGAGGCTGAGTGTAACGCTGTGCTTACTGGCAACCCCCAAACCTCAGTGGCTTATTTCTCACTCCTGCTACATGTTTATGGCAGGTGCACATCCTTCATGGAATGGGGGACGTTTGGGTCTGAGCGATTCTTACTGGAATGACCCAGAGACCCAAACTAATGGAGTAGCCACCATCTAGAAAATGGTTAGTCACTGCATCAGAGTGGGAGAGAGCCCTAAGGGATCTCAAACCAACAACCAAACGTTCTGGCCCGGAAATAATCCATGTCACTGGTCACTCACAACCCATTGGCCAGAGCTAGTCACATGCACGACCATGCCCCAAGGAAGGCAGTCAGGACAGGCAGTTCTACCAGGTGCGCTGGGACAGGGGAGAATGTAAACACTTGGTAAGTGGCAGCACTGACTACTGCATGAAGGAATCGAAGCTGGGAGGGATTAAGTACTTGCCTAACACCACATCGGCTGTAAGTGACAGAATCAGGATTTGAATCCACCCTGGTGTGATTTCAAAGTCGATGTCCTTTCTGCTTCTTTCTACACTGTCTGCTGTTCTCTTACGGGAAGCTTATAGTAAAAATTATTTTACATCAACGATGCAATTCCCTCTTCCTTAACCATCTGATAGTTTAATTGAACAGACAAGATGACACTGGTTAAAAAGACCAGCATTGATAAGTCAAAGGTCTTTTCCAATCAAGGGAATGTTTGGATATTCGAATATCCATTGTATTCTATTATAAAAATAAAATCAGGTGGTAGATGAAAGGACAGTTCATTGATCATTCACTTAATATAGAATAATCTCCACGCCTTTCCACTCTGTCAAGGAAAAATGATACAAATTAGAGCCTACCTTGATGAAACTGAAAACAGATGTGATAGAGTTGAACAAAATTGCTAGATGTCAGTGTTTCAGAAACACAAGATAATGACAAAATCTCTGGCCACATGGGCAGAGAAAGTTAGGGAGATGGTGCGGGTAAGACACTTTTGGAATGAAGATAGTGTCACACTTACAGTGACAGAAAAGATGGACAAGATCACATTATGAAAAAGATGTGATAATTTGAAAATTTAGATTAAATAGATGAATTCCAGGGGAAAAATATAACTTTCCATACTGAAGGAATAGAACATCTTAGTTTGTTCATTATATTCTTGACAAGGAATACGTGCAAAGGCAAAATTACTAGCCGATCTGAATTAGTCATATAAGCACAAATAATGTAAATCAATTAATGCCAAACTAAACCCAACAATGGGTAAAACAGATAATACAGCATGACGAAGTTGTATTTAATCCCAAGCATGCAAGCTTTGTTTAACAGTTTAAGAGATCCGTAATGTATTTAACACATTAGCTGAATAAAGGGAGGAGGACAGGACACATAGCGCAAAGATCATTAAAAAAAAAAAAAGGTATGCAATAAATCAACCAGCCAGAATTGAATAAAAAGAATAACAGTAATTCTCAGCGGATAGGCAATATAGAAAGCTATCTCTTTAAATTGACAGTGGGCAGCGAAACAATATACCACATCAGACACTGCCCTTGATAGTAAAACATTAGAAGTACTCTCCTTACAATCAGAAAAGGGATAAAGATGACTGGTATGACAAATTCTGTTCAATGTCGTACTGAATCTAGTGCAGTAAGCCTTATATCATATTAGGCAGTGCAGTAAACTGCGGTGTATGCATGCCTACGTACATAAATGAATATATGTATAAAAGTGAAAATAAATTTATAGCTCTCAATGTGCCTATCTTCATATGAAACTCAAGAGAAGCTACAGAAAATTAAAATTAATAATGAAGATTAACAAGTTTGTTGGATATAAGACGAATACACACAAACCATTGTAACAAATAGAAAATACCATCTCTACTGTAAATACACTATTTACAATAGAAAAAAAAATGTCTTGTGAAATATACGACGAATCTGCTTACTTGGCAGCTATTCTAACACTCTTGAACATTCTTACATGCTTTCCTGTACTGTAGAGACTAGAAAGTTGGAACATGAAAGGAAACACACATGCACACCACCACATGCATGGGTGCACACTCTCTCTTTCTCTCTGTCTCTGTCTCTCTCTCTCTCTCTCTCTCTCTCTCTCACACACACACACACACACACACACACACAATTTACCAGAGCCCCTTGCAGTTAGGGTCCCAAATGGGATATCTATCATGTGAAGCATATGTGCCAACATGAGACTCAGAGGTGGAACTGAATAACATGGGAGCTATATGTGGGGTGGACTACCTGCGATGAGGGAGGTCTCTGGGTTTTATGGGGCAGCCATTGTAGATTTTCTAGAATTCAGTCTCTGTCATGCATGTCAATTAATGGGCAGGCAACAGTGGCATTTCAGCTGTGGCGGTTTCATAATGCAGGTAGACTTCTCCTGGCTGTGCAGCATCCAGGCCTGCTTTTCTGGCCCTCACAGAGTTTTTGTAAGCTATGTAATATATTTTATTACAGATATCTTGTTTGTATAAAACAGCTCGAGTGAATTCTGGCATAGGCAGGTTGGGACCTTGATTAACACACTGCTAGGCACCAAAATTGGTTGCAAGCAAAAGACCTTGAAGGAAATGGGGATTTGGGATAGATTTGGCCCACGGGCCATAGTTGCTGACCGCCGCTCTAAGCTAATAGACTCATTGGGTCCCCAAAACGGTGCTGAATGAGAGGTCAGCAAAATGAGGAGGCAGCTATTCCTAGGATCCTCTGGCAAGCATAAGCCAAAAGCTGAGGCTTTAGCACAGTTGTTTTCAACCTTGGTTGCACACTGCAATTCACGTGGAGAGTTTAAAAATGTGGTTGCCTGGATCTAACCCCGGTTCTGCTTTGATTGTTCTGGGTGTGCCCTGGTGCTAGTGAATTGTCTCAACGTCTCCAAGTGGCTCTAATGTAATCATGGTTGAGAACTGCTTGAGCAATTTAAGTGATAAGAATGCAAGTATTTTACTATATATACTTTTAAAATGTTGTAATTGTGGCTTCAGAATGATAACGTTACAATATATGATAAATACAGAGTTACACTGGAAAATATGAAATAAAGATTCCCATGTAAGAAATCGAGGAGAATGTCTTTTTCAAACAGAAAGGAAGTGAGAAAACTGGTAAAGCAGGGGCCACCACAGCTTGTGTCCGGGTTGAAGCTAAACTGCCAGCAAGGCCAGAGCAGGGTATGGATTAAAGCAAAGTGTCTGTGAGCCCAGGGCTGATTCAGCAGTGGAGTTTCTTCTGCAGAAGACAGCCACAACCCAGGGTCAACATGGAAGGGATGGCACAAACTCAACAAATTCCCTCATTGGCACTGAGGGAATAGAAAAAATGGAAGTGACTGAAGCAGACATTAAGATAATATTTCCCCAGAGAGGCAAAGGAGTGATAAAGGATGAAATTATGTCCGTGTTAAATGAATAGAAGGCTGTCCAAGAAAGATGGCTAATTGAAGGCAAGTTTCTCCTTTCACTTCCTCCTGAAACTTCATTAAAACAACATCAAAAGTGAACAAATTGTGGTGTGTCCATCAAGGGGCTACTACTCAGCAAGGAAAAGTCAGGAACATGGATGGGTCACAGAAACATGCCGAGTTAAAGAAGCCCGACACAAAGGGGTACAGGGCCTTTGATTCCATTTCTATGAAATCCTAGAACAGGAAAACGAATATGTACTAACGGAAAGCAGATCAGTGTTTGCATGGGGCCAAGGGATGAAGAGGAGATCAACTGGGAACCTTTTGGGGTGTGTTATATGTTCTATATCTTGATTGATGTGGTAGCTAGCCCTAATCCCTGGTTTTTACATATAAGAACCTGGGATCAGGAGAAGCTGAATGAGTCGTCAAAAGTGAGGTTACCTTATTAATCAGAGGGAAGATACTCACACCTGATTATCAATAATAAATGGTTTCCATTATGCTGTATATGGGTCAATAGGAAACGTGCTTCTTCCCAAGCCCTTGACAAAACCCTGACCCAGCCATAATCATCCACTTGTACAAGTATAAAGCATAGGTGTGAAAGTATAACCATTCTGCATTCCAGCCACCTGCTTCTACACATGGTTGACATTCTCACGTGTCCCTTTACTCTGACTTATTTGTGTTTATATTTACAAATGAAAACAGAATTTTTCATTGGCATTTTCTTCTGAGGAATCGTACTATAATATACAGTTTTATAACCTGACATTTTTTTCCTTTCCCTTTGTATCACGTGGTGTGACGAATCTTCTGCCTGGCTGCTTGTAGTCTGCCACTTAAACCTGAAACATTTCTTGCATAATAATATATTTTGTTTCCTCAAAGATTGGAAATGGGCATTTAAGTCCCCTACTGAATCCTTCCACATAACCTGTTGCATGCTCCCAGCATTTTATTTCGGTTCCCTTCATCCATATGTCACATGACGCCCCACTGGGGCCGGGGCTGCCCTGTTTTACTACTGCCGCTTTGTAAAACTACGGCTGACATGGCAACCGGATCCAACTCACTCGTCTCTTTTCCTTGTCATTTCCAGGAAGACTAATGACAACGAATACAACTAACACATATTTCTCCCTCAGTAAATGCCAGATGTTGTACTAGGTTCTGGACATAGCAACAGACAACTTATTTATAGTGCTTGTTAGGTCACAGGCATTTCTCCAGGTGCTTTTCACATAGTTCCGTGTGTTAACTCACTTAATTTTTACAGTAGCCCGCAAGGTTGAAACTGTTACTATCTTTGAGTCACGGGGAAAAGGAGCAAAAAGAACTTGAGTCACAGCGAGTTACTTGCCTTGGTTCATACAGTTTAGCACCAGGATTGCAATCCTGATGGATCTGATTTCAAATCCTGTGCCCATAACCAATCCTGTGCGACTCTGTGTCAAGGCTGAAATGAGTGGTACGAGAGGGCCCACTGAGAGTCTGATGGGCAATGATGGGTGTGGTGTCTGGAGCCAGTGACCCCTGACTCCAGGCTTCTGGGCAAGAAACTCGTCGTTGCACATTGTTGCCCTGTACCATCTCTCCTTTTGTGGACTGTGCGGGAACTGTTTCTCTGGTGTTCAACTTGAAGTGAAGTAACAGGGACAGACAAGATGTACACGGACAGGAAGGAAGGAGGGCTTCCAGAGGGGAGCGTATCACCAGGATGAATTCAGTTCCCTAGGGGCTTTTTCAATGTGTGTTTCATTGTCTTCTCTGTATTCACCTCACCCTCTCCTTTCTGACCCACACATCCATCCCTTGGCCTTTTCACTCTGTATGTCATGCCCCTTCCTTGCCATGTCTACTTGATTCCAAGGACAGTCATTTCTACTTCTCCCAGGACAATATCAGCCACTCTCTGGTCCCGTCATCCTTCTGTCCCAAGGCACCTGTAAGGCACAGCCATATAATTATATGTATATATTTAGACAGAGATCGATTTATGTGATAAATTCAAAAAGTGAAATGTCTGGATCAAAGTGTAAGAATGACTTCTGAATGGTTAGGCATATCGCAGAAAATTAGACTCACACACGGTTACTGGAAGGGTATGGTGGTGTAAATCTCATGGAAAATACCACTTTATGCTTAGAAATATTCATGTGCTTCTCCTGGGAATGGTAGATCAGGGACTCAAAATCTTATACCCACTTTGAAGTCCTGGCTGTGTTCCACTGGGTTTTTTGGTCTCCCCCGCTGGGGGTGCTCTGTAACCCTGGTCAACCCGCGGATATTGTTCCATTACTTTTGTGTGCAGAGAACTCTATTACTTTCTTATTTTAAAACTGTCAGTCAATTCAAATATTAAAACACCGAGAGGTTAAAAAAAAAAAGAAAAAAGTGTATTCTGAACAAGAAACAAAATTTGGCCATATATAATACATGACACATGAAAAGAAATGTGTGGTGGTCTCCAGTGTTGTGTGGCGATGCGTTTCCCAACATGACTTGGAGTCATGCCTATCTGTAACCTAATTCTAGAAGCATGTAACACAAAATACAAATACTTGCTTGCATGGGCTCCATGGACACACAGACCCACACTCTTCCCTTTCCCTGAGACAGGGATGGTACTTCCTGTCTGTCGGAAGGCTGAGTGAACACAACATGCCTGTAGGTCCAGAACATTCTTCCTACAGAGACCCCATGCCCAGAAAGCTCTGTCTGCTGGATTCAGGGAACGCCTCTCCTCATTTCCGTCACTGCTGTTTGCAAAAGCCTCCTTCTCTGAGATCCTCAAAGCTGCCGTTCTAGCCTTAGTCTGCAGGGAGGTACTTAGTTCTATTTCTAAGGATACATTAATGAAAAAAATATTAATGTTGCAGAAGAAAAAAGTAGTTCATTCTAGTTTTGCAAGCAGGTTATGAAATAGTTTTGCAGCCCGAATAGGTCTGGAATAAATACAAATACATGTCGGTAGAAATGGTTGAGGTGGATGTATTCTCAAAAGTGGTTTTGCCAATGATCCCAAACCTACATCACATGCATTCTTTTAACAAATATTAATGAGGCCCTTCTTCTGTGCCACAGACACCACCCGCCCAAAGTGACTCCTAATCTGAAAACCCATGGCCCAAACAGATTTCACCCATCTGGCCAAAGACAGAGATCTCCACCTTATCCAAGCACCTGGTTCCCACCCCAACAGGAGTGACTAACACAAAACATCATCCCTGGCCTGCTCACCAAAGTCTGTCCTTGAGACCCGAAAGCTTGCCATTTAAGGGAGAACCAGTGCAGTCACTGGAGGAGCACTCAGGGTGTAGAGGCAGACCAATATCAGTGACGACATAATTCCCGTTCTGCCACTTACTTGGCTGGGAAATGTACCCGACATCTGTGAGCCTCATATCCATGATCTGAAAAGAGACTGTGGATACGATTGTCATGGGATTTCTGTGAGGAGGTCAAGAGAAACCTAGTGAGTGTGCCCAACACGGAGCAACTGTTGGTTGCCACTGGGCAAGTGTTGGCTTTCTTCTTACCCCATTCTTTCTGTGCCGTAGCAGGGATGCTGATGCACTCAGTGGCATGGCAGTGACATAGGCAGAATTCCAGAATAACACAGGAAGTACCAGTAGGAATGCACGTGATGTCATAAAGGATACTCACTACTATGTCTGTGTGGGAGGATCAGCCAGTACATGGTGGGGCCGGAGGGGAAGCCCAGGCAGTCTGGGTGAGAAGCACTAGCTGGTTTAGAGTACTCTTGGGATCGCCTGTAACACTGGCAGCGCAGCTACGAGACAGGGATTGTGCTGAGATGCCAGAGTTCAGCAAGTGGATGTGCGCCTGTGTGTGTTCTGTCTTCAGCGTCTCTCTCTCTCTCTCTCTGTCTCTTCCCTCTGTGGCTTTTTATCATCTGTGCTGTCTTCCAACACAAAGCCTTGCCTGAGGCTGTAGCTGTAGCTGTTGGATAGCTCACTTTTACACCTTCTTCCCCTCAGTGACATTATTTCTGAAGTAATGCTGGTTCTCAGAAATGACGGTGACTCTTCCTGTGCTCCATATATTCACCACGTGCCCTTCACCCTCACTTTAATCTTTGATTTTTTTCCCTTTCATTTATGGACTTTCCTGAAAATGAGTTTGTTTCCGGGCATCCTCCAAATGTCAGCAATAGGGGTCCTTGTTGTTGCTGTTGTTGTTGTCGTTGTCACTGTAGCTGCGTATTGTTATGTACTCCTAGCTTTTTAACATACCGATGGGCCCCAAACCCCTGTTAAAGGATTTTGAGTAGAGGGATGACAACATTGGACTTAGGCGTTAAAAAGGTCCCTCTGCCTGCTGTGTTGAAAATAGATGGTAAGGGAGCCAAGGGCAAAAGCGGAAGGACAGGGTGGATGGCAGCATAATGCAGGAGACAGATGTTGGTGACCTGGCCAGGGTAGGTAGCAATGGAGGGGGTGAGAAGTGGCCAGACTCTGGATATATCTTAAAGGTAGAGCCAAGAGAAGATACATCCATCCTGATCGGTGGGATGTAGAGTGTGAGAGAAAGTGAGCCCTCCAGGTCCACCTCCAAGTTGTGGGGACCGAGCATCAGGAATGTCTAGGTCAAACGCTCTGCCTACATTTAATATCCCTTCTAATGGCACACAGGGAAAATCCCAGAACAGCCGAGAGGAGCAGAACTGTCCTGACAGTGGGTCACACACAGTGAAAGCAGTGACCCGCCGTCCCCAGCCCCCACAGAAGTTCATCTGAGGCCCGGCCATAATCAGTAGTACATTGCAGAGAGATCAGCAGTGACCGAAATTTTATTCATACGGGTACCCTGAGACGACGTGTACATTTTGAGATTGGTTGAGGTCTGTTTGATGCCCCAGGAGATGGTCTACCTTCGTGAGTGCTACAAGACGGTAGAGGGGGAAAGAAAAAGCATGCTCTGCTTTCGTTGTTGGGCACAGTGTTTTACTTATGTCCTTCAGATCCTGTTACTGTAGTGGTTTTCAATATCCTTGCTGATTTTCTTTCTTTCTGGGAATTCTGTCACTTGCTTGGGAAGAGTTGTCTCTTGGGCTGAAAGCATTTCAGGCTGGACAAAAAGAAAGCCTGCTCTGGATATTTCCAACTGACTATTGTTGAGGGCAAGGCTGGAGGTAGGGGGGCAGCTTCAGAAGCTGTTACATCAGTGTCACTTGTCATTAAAGCCTGTGCTGCACCGGGAAAGAGGTACAGCTTGCTGATGGTTCACAGAATGCATTTGGGGGACTGGATTTGGGAGGTGCGAGAGAGGCTGTCTCCCAGGTGTTGGTGTGGTTGGTGTGTTAGATTGGAGAAGCCCGAGAGAAGGCAAGATTAGGACCCTCTCCAGGTGTGCGTCTGGTATCTAGTCTAAGCTATGGACACGCGCACCTCTGTTCTGTGTAATTCCTGCTCCATTTTTTTTAAGAGGTTCAACACAGTTGCTTCCTCTCCCAAGATTCCTCCCCTGATTGTGCCACCTGTGAGATAAGGCCCTTGTATCTGGACAGGCAGAGGAGTTTGTTTGCTGGGGCTTGTGCGACCAGTCCCTTGGGGCGGGTTGGCGCTCTGCTTGCCCTACCATGGAGTTAGCCCACGGCACGGTAAGTGGTAAGCGGGCCATTGACGTGTCTTCGAACTTGTCTTCTTGTTCCCCGTTGCAGGACGCCATGACCATGGGAGAACGAAAGGTGGGAGTCCTTTCCAGGATAATTTTGACAAGAGGAACCCTCGTTATGAACACGGTGGGCATGAGTTTCTGCCTTCAGAGCGCCAGGAGAATGATGGAAGCGTGGAGATGGGGGATGTCCACAAGGACCGCCAACTAAGACAGTAAGCGACCAGGCAGCCTGGTTTGCACGTAGCAGTCCCCCGGGACTGTGCAACCCTTTTGTCCTCCGTGGTCTTCCTTCTTTTCTCTCACTAGAGAACTGAGGAATGCTGGAAGCAGAATAATGGCTAAGCAATCCTAACTGTAGCCCTGGTGTCAGTGAGGGGAGCGTGTATAGAAGACTTCCTTAGACTTAATGGATACCGGCCTTCTCGCCTCTTCCCCACAGCACTCCTTATAACATCGAACGCAGCAGGAAGCTAGTGAAATGGCATAGTGAAGATCAAATCTATACTACCACGTGGAGAAACAGAAAACTTCCAGAGAGAAAAATGATGGAGGACACGCGAGATGGAAAAACGAGGGCCTGGTTCAAGGTCACAGTGAGTATCTTGGTGAGGTCTGCATTAGGTAGACTACTCTGGAACCTGATAGAAAGGAGACCACATAAAACACCCTAAGTTGATTATTTGGAGGAGAGCTTCAGAATGAGGGGAAAGGGAGTTTAGGGAATCCATATTTGGCACACAAATAAATAAGAAATCATGTCAGGGGTCGCTTTTTTAGAAGTCCAAACTACGTAGAAGGTTGGAATAAAAAAGAAAGAAAAAAGAGCTGGTTGGTTCTGTTCTCCATCGTTTGTTCCATATTGTCTCTCCCTTCTCTCCTATGTCTTCTTTTTACCCTCAGATTCCTTATGGGGGAAAGTATGACAAGGCGTGGCTAATGAATTCAATCCAGAGCCATTGCAGTGTCCCCTTCACTCCACTCGATGTAAGAGAGCATGGTGAAGCCAGATGAGTGGGCACGGGGTACGGGGAGAGGCCTGGCTCAGCAGGGGCCATTGGCCTCCGACACCGTTGCTCTTGCCCTCACTCCCTGTAGTTCCACTACTTCCAAAATCGGGCACACTTCTTTGTGCAAGGTGCTGGTACTGCCTCCGCTTTGAAGGATGTCAACTATACGATTTGTGATGACCAGAACCGGAAGGTGTGTGCGGAGGGCATTCCCTGTCCTTAGTCTCTGGGCAGGAAGACAGGCCAGGAGGCTGGTCACCCTCATTGGGATTAGAGGTCCTGGTACTTACCCTGCCTCTTCTTCCTGCAGATATGTATATTTGTCAATCAGTCTACTGCACCCTACTCTGTGAAGAATAAGTTGAAGCCAAGCCAAATGCAGTTGCTAAAGGTAATATGGACTCCAGGATCATTGCATACCCACTTCCTGGATGCACCTCTTCTTCCCCTGGCCCCCTCTTTCCCTGTCACCACCACCACCACCACCACCACCACCACCACCACGAGAACCTCAGAGTCTCTGTCTTCATCTCGACCTCTGCAGCTGACCATGGACAAACGATATGATGTCTCCAAGCAAGCTCTTGATCTCCAAAGTCTCCGCTTTGACCCAGGTATGGCTGACAGCAGCAATTCTAAGGCAAGTGGGGGGGCAGAGCAGTCTGCCTGGGAGGGAGACTTAGGAATGGCAATTTAGGGAGGGGTTGGTGCTGGCTCTGGTCCAGCCAGGGCCCTCCCAGCCTTCTGATTCCGTTCTCTTGGCTTCCCGAAGACTTGACGGGCCATGATATTGATATAATCCTGAATCGAAGAAACTGCATGGCTGCCACCCTGAAGGTCATTGAATCGAATTTCCCTGAGGTAAAGCCTTAGGCCAAGTGCTGGTTTTTGGTAAGAGGGGTGGAAGAGAAAAGGTGGAGGGCAGATTTGTCTCCGAGGCCCAAGACAGTAGCTGCCACACTAACTCTTCTTGACCCAAAGCTACTGTCTTTGAACTTGTGCAACAACAAACTGTACCAGCTGGATGGCCTGTCTGACATTACAGAGAAGGCCCCCAAAGTCAAGATCCTGAACCTCTCCAGAAATGAGGTGAGAAGGGGGAGCCAGATCAACTTTGGGTGGAGGATGGATGGCAGTACACGTCAGGATGTTGGCAACAGGCAGGCAGAGGTGTCTGGTGTCTGTAGGTGACTGTGAGGGTTGGGGGAATTTGGGGCCCAGGGTCCCAGGTGTCTGTCTTTCCCTGGCCCTCCTCCAGTTTTCTCCCCATCTTTCTTAGCTGAAGTCGGTGTGGGAGTTGGGCAAGGTGAAAGGGCTGAAGCTCGAAGAGCTGTGGCTAGAAGGGAACCCCTTATGCAGCACCTTCTCTGACGAGTCTGCCTACGTAAGGTCAGTGGCAACCCCTGTCGCCCTTCTTGGGCGTCTTTGCTCCCTGCATAACAGCTGTATCTGAAGGTGCCCCACTGCAGGAAGAGGCAGCCTTGGTCCTCTGGGAGGAACCACAGACCTCCTCCGCTCCTACACACACACACACACACACACACACACACACACTCTCTCTCTCTCTCTCTCTCTCTCCCTCCCTCCCTCCCTCCCTCTCCCTCTCTCTCCCTCTCCCCCTCCCCCTCCCACCCTCCCCTCCCCCTCCCCCTCCCCCTCCCCCTCCCCCTCCATCTCCTCTCTCGGCATCACTCAATCATCTATGCTCAGCTGTCTCCTTTCCTTCCTCTGACACGCTCCCCTTTTCACCTGCTCTGGGGTGCCTTTCCCTCCTGTCTCCGCCCAGCCTCCTCCAGCGGTCTTCTGTGGGTGTGCTCCAGGAAGTGGGGCTCCCCCACCTCCCCAGGACCAGCAGTATTCAGATGCTGGTGCCCTGGACCGAGAAGAGTCCTGTGGCCCTGGGCCTCATGCTGAGACAGGCCTTCCTGCCTCCATGGTGAGATGGGACTTCCCTCCACTCTCCCCCGAGAGGGGTTCTCCTTCTCTTGCTCCAGAAAGGTCCCCACACCTGTCCTGGGCTGGCGTGGGGGCTTCCGTGCCCCATGCTGGGGGGCGAGGCCCTGGGTGGCTGCTGTCGTGCCGTCTCTTCCTCTGGCCCAATGCCAGAAGCTGGGCCCCCCTAGAGGAGAAACCTGGCTTTAAGGATTCAGGGAACCAGAAGTGGGCCACATTCCCGAGTCAGCACTGGGCAGAAGAGGTTGAGGAGACAGAAAGACAGACCTCTCAAGCCACTGCCCCTCCTTCCTTGCACACCTCACATTGTCTTGCCTGGGCCCTCAGAGGAGCCCTGGGTAGCCAGAGACGGGTAGCCTTCCTCGGTCAAGGTGCCAGCACATTGGGGTGCAGGCACCAGGGACCACCAGAAGACAATGCAGTGGCCGGGAGAGGGGGTCCCCAGACTCTGAACCCCATGCCGAGCTGGGGCCTGACGCTTCACTCCTCCTGGGAGAAGGTCTCCTGTCCCCGTGGCTGCTCTGTCTCCCATGCCCAGCTCAGACTGAGCTCACACAGGTGAGAAAGGCTCCAGCTGCATCCAGTGGGCCCGAGCCCAACAGGTACATGTTTTCCTTTCCTGCCTCGGTCTCCAGGGCCAGCCAGGGGGCGGTGAGGGAAAGGGCTTCAGCAGGGAAACCCTTTTCTCCTCTCTTCCTCCCTGAAGTGCACCCCCACAGTAGAGCATCTTTCCCTTCCCTTTGCTTTGCATCCTGCTTCTCCTTTGTCTCTCATCTCCCACCCCTACCTTCACCCCATTTCTACTGTCATCCCCCCCCGCCTTCCCCTTCCTGTCCCCTGAGCCCGGCCTCACTCACCTCCCTGTCCCAGCACCCCGGGCCATCCCTAAGGGCTTGCCTGCTCTTGGCCAGGTTGATGGACAGCCAGTGAGGTAGCAGAGCCCTGGGTTCCCACCCCATTTCCTGCTCCCTGCGGAGCCTTCCATGTTGCATGTTGGCTTGGCAAAAGATGAGGAAGAGAGGGAGGGGAAGAAAGCCCTGGAGCCTGGGCTCCCAATGCTGCTTCTTGTGGCGCTGGAGAAAAGGGAGTCAGGGCAGTCTAGGTGGAAGCTAACCAGGACAAAGGAGAGGGAGAGTGGCCACACAACCCTGAACTGTCAGTCACTTCATTCTATTTTTGGTTTCGGACAGTGCCATCCAGAATTGTTTCCCCAAGTTGTTACGCCTGGTAAGTATCTATCATACCGTCAGTCTCCTCCTACTCAAGAACATGACCTCCACACCTGCCCTCAAGTCCTTTGGGTCTTGCCTAGACTACATGCTTATATCAGACCCTCGTCCATTTTAGAGGCATGGATTCCTGAAAAGGACAAGAATATTCTGCCTGGAAAAATGTGTCCATAAACACACACGCATACAAACACCCATGCTGGCATGTAATTGCAGAGATGTCTGGCACCTCATGAGAAAGCCGCCCACCGGAAATTCCAGGGCCATTTCCCACCTGGCCTCTGATGCTTTTTCTCCCCGGGAAGATGTTCATCTTACCGGTCATCCGGCTCCACCTCCTTGGTCTCCACTGCTGACTTCCTCTTTCCTTCTCCAGGACGGCCGAGAGTTAGCCCCAGCAATGAATGTTGACACCGACAGCTCTGAGTTAATGAAACCCTGCAAGGTGAGGAAGAAGGACCAAGCAAGATTTGGAGTGTTGTAAGGGAGGCTTTGTCCACTGCATAGGTCCAAATTGTCTTTTGATTTCAGGAAAGCTGTAATGGATCTGAGACCCTAAAGCATACAGTCCTGCAGTTCCTGCAGCAGTGAGTATCCCTGGGACCATGAGGAAGTGGAGGGCTGAGGCAGGCTGGGCCACCCATGAACAGGTCAGTTCATGGGGGGTCTCCGGTCTCATCTGGGGCCCAGGCCACAGAGACAGCCTATCCTCACTGCTTTCCCACAGATATTACTCAATCTATGACTCTGGAGATCGACGGGGTCTCCTTGGTGCTTACCATGAGGAGGCCTGCTTCTCCATGACTATTCCCTTCAACCCCGAGGACTCAGCCCCGTGAGTATCAGGGCTCAGACCCTGCTCCGTGGCCGTGTGTCTCCCCAGCAGACACAGGCCAGCTCCTGGAAATGTCCGCACCGGCCGGACCACCCACTCCTGCTCCTCTTTCTCTCCTAGGAAGAGCTTGAGCCAGTACTTCGAGGATAGCAGGAATATAAAAACACTCAAGGACCCCTGTAAGTGTGTGAGGGGGAAGAGTGGGCAAGGTAAGGGGGTGTGGCGGGAACAATCACAGAGGCCACAGATCAGAGTGTGGCAGCCCCCGACCCCCATTCATTCCTTCTCCTCTCCTCTACAGACCTGAGGGAGGAACTGCTGAAGCACACAAAACGTGACATTGTGGACTTCCTCAGCACGTTGCCCAAGACTCAGCATGACCTCAGCTCTATCCTGGTGGACATGTGGTACCAGACGGTGAGTACCTGCTTCCTCCCAGAGGAAGGTAAGGAGGTGGGTAAGGAGGTTAATGAGGATCCTGAGCACTTGAGCCCTTCCCTTTCAGAAGTGGATGCTCTGCTTTTCTGTCAACGGGGTGTTCAAGGAAGGTGAGTGTCTGTAGAGTCCCCTCCCCAGATCCCCACTGCTTCCCGCCACCAGCTGGGCTCCCTCTCAGAACTCTCCCAGCTTCCCTGATTTTGTCCCTTTGCCTCCTGTTCTTCCCTCCACGTTTTCCCACCCCCACTGTGCCCGCAAACCACCCTGGTCTGAACTAGGTCCATGCCTGTCTGCCCTGCTCAGCTCAGGCGTACTTTAAGGACACAGACTGTGGAGTTTGACAGCTCTCATCCCAGGTTCCTACCCTGTGAACTTGTGCTGGTTACTTAACCCTTCAGTTGCCTCATTTGCAAAATCGGACCAACAATAACCCATCTCTTGGGCTACTGTGAAATAGGAATCAAGTGAACTTGTGGTTTTCACGGGGCCCCACACATGATAGGGGCCCTATCACTGGGAGCGGATTGTTCCCGTCGTTGCCCTCCCCATTCCTGCCATGTCCTCCTGACTCCATGTGAACAGTTGTCCTGGTCTACCCCCCTTCTGTGTGAGTGTCAAGCGAGACTGACTGGGGATCACTGTGTGAGCATGTAAAGCCTGTACAACTCTAAGGTGGTGGTGTTTGTTGTCTTTGAAGTGGAAGGACAGTCTCAGGGTTCTGTTCTCGCCTTCACCCGGACCTTCATCGTTACCCCCGGTAGCAGTTCCAGGTTAGTGCTGTGCTGTGGGTGGTAGCACCCATCCCAGCCTGGGGATAGTGTTGTGGGAATGTGGTGGGTGCAGTCCTTGGAGTGTTCTCAATATTGTGGAAGGCCGACGGGTAGATCCAAGGAGCAGTCTTGCCTAGTGTTTAAGAGTGCGGGCCCTGGAGTCAGAGTAGGGTTCTTTTCCTCACCTCAACACTCACAAACTGTGTGACCTTCATCAACTTAGCCGACCTCTCTGTGATTCGGTGCCTTTCTCTGAAAATCGGAATAAGGCTATCCACTTCCTTGGGCACCTGTGCAGGGTAAACGTGTTGGGCTTAGATCTGAAAATCTAGTGAAGCTGGTAGACAGTCTCTCCAAAAGTGGACTCCGTGGGAGGGTAAGAGGGTATCAGCCAAAAAACTCTGGGAGGGGGCCACAGTAGGGATATGGAAGGAATTTGGTTGTTGAGTGGCAGTGGTTAAGAAGGATCCTGTTGTCGGGGGTGTGGAGTTGTCTACCTATCCGGTTTGAGGGTGCATTTTTCTTTCCTCCAGTCTGTGCATCGTGAATGACGAGCTATTTGTGAGGGACGCCAGCCCCCAAGAGACTCAGAGTACCTTCTCCATCCCAGTGTCCACACCCTCCTCCAGCTCTGAGCTCTCCCTCTCCCAGGAGCGGCAGGAAATGGTGCAGGCTTTCTCTGCCCAGTCTGGGATGAAGCTGGAATGGTCTCAGAAGTGAGTGCTGGGAGTACATGGGGATGGGGGGGGTTGGGACATCAGAGGAGTGAGCAGTGGAGACTCACGTGCAGTTTGGAATAAATAACAACCGGGATATTTTGCTTTGAAAAAGAAGTGGGCCCATGAAAAAGGTATCATGCTTTTAAAGGTATAGGTAAATAAGTGTTCAAATGGCACAATGTCCAAATGACATTACCTTCCGTATGTAAAATCTGCAAGAATCCAGCACAACAGACTACTATAAAGTTCAGCAAGGTTGCAAGATACAATATACAGAAATCATTCGCACTTCTGTGTACGTAGTTGCAAGGGACAATCCAAGAAATGAAATTAAGAAGTCCATTTACAGTAGCATGAGAAGAAATAAAATAAGTAGGAACAAACTTAAGCACAGCACAAATCTTACACTCTGAAATCTGCAAAACTGCTGACAAAAACAAAAGAAGATTTAAATAAATGGAAAGACATCCCCTATTCATCAATTGGAAGGCTTAATATCATTAAGATGCCAGTACCGCCCAGAACAACCTACAGATTGATTGCAGTCCCTGCCAGAATCCCAACTGTCTTCTTTGCAGAAATTGACAAGGTAATCCCAAAATTCATGTGGAAATGCACTGGACCCAAAACAGCCAAAACCATCTTGAAAGAGAGGAACAACATTAGAAAACTCACACTTGCTGAATTCAGAACTTGCTACAAAACTATATTAATCAAGAGTGCATGGTCCGGACGTAGGAACAGACAAGGGAATCAATGGAATAGAATTGACAGTCCACAGATAATCCGAGTCATTTATGTTCAGTTGATTATCATTCAGGGTGCTGAAAAAAATCCAGCGGAGGAAAAAAATAGTCTTCTTTACAGAAGTTGCTGGGACAAGTGGATATCCTCTTGCAAAATAATTACTTTTGGCCCCTAACTCACATCACGTGCAAACACTGACTGAAAATGGATCAAGGACCTGAAAGTAAGAGCTAGAACTGTAAAACACTATAAGATGTATACATCATGAAGATGTATATCTTCATGAAGATGTACACTTGAATTAGGCAACCATTTCTTACATAGGAAACCAAAAGCACAAGCAACCAAAGGGGGAAAAAAGGGTAAATTGGACTTCATCTAAATTAAAAGCTTTGGTGCATCAACAGACACTATCAAGAAAGTGGAAAACCGACTCGGTGGAACAGGGGAAAAGATTTGCAAATCACATCGCTGACAAGAAGAAACCTTGCAACTCAACAAGAAACAGACAAGCCACCCAGTTAGAGAATGGGGCGATGATTTGAATAGACGTTTCTCCAAAGAAGACCAACAAGCACGTGCAAAACTTCTCAACATCATTAGTCGTTAGGGGGATGCATATCAAAACCACACTGAGTTACCACTTCATACCTGCTAGGATAGCTTTAATCAATGAAAGAAAAATTACAGATGTCGGGGAGAATGCAGAGAACCTGGAAATCGCATGTATCACTGCTAGGAACACAAAATGGAGCAGTCGCTGGGGAAAAGATTTTGGCAGTTCCTCAAAATCTTAAATACGGAGTTAACACATGACCCAGTAATCCCACGCCAAAGGAAATGAAAATATATGCCCATTCAACAACTTGCACATGAATTTTCATGGTGGTATTATTCAAAATAGCCAAAAAATGGAAACACATCGAGTGACCTTTAGCTGATGAATGGATAGATTAATGTGGCGCATCCATACGGTGGAATACTATTGCAAAATTATTCATTCATACATACAAAAGGATGTAGTTGTGATGTATACTATGACATGGGTGAACCTTGAAAACATTGTGTGCTGAGTGAGAGCAGCCAGTCAGAAAAAGCCACATAATTACATGATTCCATTCACATGAAGCGTTCAGAACGGGCAGGTCCCCGGAAACGGAGAGCAGAGTAGTGGTTGCCAAGATCCGGGGAAAAGGGAGGACGGGGAGTCGTCTCTAACAGTTAAGGAGTTTCTTTTTGAGGTGATCAAAATAGTTTGGAATTAGATAGTTGTGATGGTTGCACAATCTTGTGAATATACGTAAAAGCACTGAATTGTACACCTTAAAATGGTGTGACTGCTACAGTACGTGTGTTATATCTCAATCAAAAAGAAACGTATTATTGAATTTCCACTTGTTATTTCTTGAACATCTTTCTTTACCAGTATGTATTAAGCTCCCTTGTTCATTTGAATACCCCTGTTTTTCTGATTGGGATTCTGGTGGGCATGAATGTCAGGGATAGGCGTTTTGGTTTTCCCTAGGCCTTTTTTCATGGTTACAAGAGTGCTCATATTGATACGTGTGTCCCGGAAGAAAGGTAGCATAGAGTAAGTGTGGCATTGCCCGGTCGGCGTGCCTGTCCTGGGGCAGTAATGGAGAGCACCTGTTCTTCTCCCACCCCAGGTGCCTTCAGGACAATGAGTGGAACTACACCAGAGCTGGTCAGATCTTCACTGTGCTCCAGGTGAGGTCTGGGAATCAAGTGGGCAAAAGACGGCTGTCTCTGGGCCGTCAGGAGGGCCAAGAAGATGGAGTCCGGGTAGCATGGGGATGGAACTCAGGGCACCTGGCTCTGCTGACATCCCAACTCCTTCTTTTCTTTACTTCCTCTAGACCAAGGGCAAGATCCCAGCGGAGGCCTTCAAGCAGATCCCCTGAAAGAAGCCCTTCCACGTCTTCTTTGTCTTCACTCACATCCTCTTTGTTTCCTCTCTTCACCAGCCGAAGGCCATGCCCAGGAGCGGCATTGGAGGCCTGGCCGATCAGGAAGCCAAAGTTAACGGGCAGGCTGCAATGCCATAACCACCCGAAGAGCCACTTGCCCTGTGTATTTGCCCCACTCATGATCCCTGTTTATTTTCATAATAAAGAGTGACGTTGCACGGTGTACGTTGTGTGACCTGGATTGCTCTTCTCCTGCCCCAACCATGCACCAGTGGGGCCAGGGCTGAAAGCCCTGCATACCTGTTCGCCCCTGGCTGGCCTTAGCAGGTACATCAATCTGGCTTTCCTTCATAGGTAATTTTGTCAATAAACCCTGATGAGAAAGGACACACGCTCCTTCCAGAGACTGACCTTGAGAGACAGTGGAACCCTGCCAGATGCTCGATCTGGAGGCCCACAGAAGCAGGCATGTTACCTTGGCACACCAGGAGCTTTCATCCACCGTCTCGACCCCTCCCTTTCCCGAAGGTGCACTATTCGAGGAGGAGCCTGAGGTCAGCACCTGCAGGAGGAAGAAGACTCAGCTCGTCGGCCCAGCGCACTCCTCAGAGAGCTGACATCGGGTGCTCCATGTCCATGTTCTCGACGATGTTCAGCCATTTATTTTCACTTCTAAACAAACAGCAGTAGCATAGAATCTCACCTTATGGTCAGTTCTCAATGACTGGCATTTAGCAGTTGTTGAGAACTGACCGTAAGGTGGTCAGTTCCAAATTGCAGGCAAGAGTTGAGCGGGACATTTGCCCAATTTATTGCCCACACTTCTGTGATGCTTGCACATTAGACAATCAGCAGGCATACTTTTCAAAATTAAAATAATAGCAGTATGACGTTGTCAAGTCATGGTCCTATAAATTATGCCTCCACTTCTGTGTTTGGCATACATTATTTCCTACCACTTGTACCTTTCAGCTCTTTATGTACATGTACATTAGGGATCCGTATGTTGGAGTGTGAATTTCTTAAAACTAGGAACTAAGGGGATAGTTGTCATTACAAAAAGAATAATGCCCATCTTGTTCTTCCCTGTAATGCCTCAACAGTCAAAGGCAACCTCCCGTATCTCTCTAAGCCTTGGTTCTCTCACCTAGGGAGCAGAGATGCTAAGCACTGCTGTGCTTCTCAGCGTCATCTTGGGGCCTAGAGATGGTCTCACGTGTTATTCATCAACCACAGTGCCTGTTCAACTCAGGATCTGAGAGCTGCCAGGGCTCCTTTGTGGGCAGGAACCATGGAACCCATCACATGGCCTCTCTACTTCCTCTATGTACATCATCAGGCTTCCACAGCCTTGACCTCCTTCTCTAGCCAGCTCAGATGCCATGGTCTTTCAGTCACTCATCCTTCTGCCACTTCCCAAGATTCCTGTGGTTCTATGCTCCCAGTAAATGCTAACTCTGAACACCTGAACTCACTCTCTTATCTCTTGAGCACTCTAGCTCTACACACACACACACACGCCCACACACTCTCTCTCTCCAAATTGTCCATTAGGACACAGTCGTGGAAGTTTAAATTGTCAGGCAAAGTGTATGCTTCCCAAGATTATTTCTGAAGTTGAAGGGAGGACATATGAGTATTTGCATACATTGTTCCTGAGCATGTAAATTGACAGCCATTTTTTAGAGTCATTGAGAACAATTCAGTCATAAATGATTGAATAAACTTATACGTGCACATAAATATATATATGTACACATATTTTTATATAAAATAAATTATAATGCAGATGCAGTTTTATATCCATTTTAGTCAACAAAGTCATTGACATAAAGGTATTTATGTCACTATGCTATAATTTTATATAGATAGTTCTGCAGTGATGACTTTATTCTTGACGTTTTTCATCCATGTGCCAATTGTGTGGAGCGTGGACTGGAAAGGCTGGTTAGGAAAGAAAGCAGCAAATGGCAGCCACAGCCAGGAGAGTCCAGCCACAGCTGCTGTGTTCATTTCCTTGGGCCTTGGCACACTCTCCTTAGAGATAGGGTGGCAGGGAAGCTGGGGCTGTGGAATTTGTAAGGCCTTATCCCTGAGAAGAGGCATTATTTCCCATATGTTATTTGTTTTCCTGCCCATTGCTTATGATAGCATCAAGTTTATAGAAACCTCCAACAGGCTGTACTTGTTTTTAGAGTTTGGGGTCTCATTATGTTGCCCGGGCTGAACTCAAACTCTTGGGTGCAAACTCCTCTGCTCATACAGTACTTCAGCCTCAGCCTCCCAAGTAGCTGAGATTACAGTCACCCAGCAAAGTTGCACTTCTTTTTTTTTTTTTTTTTTTTTTTTGAGACAGAGTTTCGCTCTTGTTACCCAGGCTGGAGTGCATTGGTGCAATCTCAGCTCACCGCAATCTCCGCTTCCTGGGTTCAGGCAATTCTCCCGCCTCAGCCTCCTGAGTAACTGAGATTACAGGCATGCGCCACCATGCCCAGCTAATTTTTTTGTATTTTCAGTAGAGACGGAGTTTCACCATGTTGAGCAGAATGGTCTTGATCTCTTGACCTTGTGATTCACCCGCCTCGGCCTCCCAAAGTGCTGGGATTACAGGCGTGAGCCACTGCGCCTGGCCCAAAGTTGCACTTCTTACAAGGTTTGTTGGTGTGGGTGGGTAGTGGAGCCCTCCCTATCCTCATCAGAGCCAGGGAACCTCAGTGGAAGGAGTCCAGAAGCAACTACAGGAACTCCAGGGTGAGTGATGCCCTTTTCTATCTGTCTTCTCCAAGTAACTTTTGTGCCTTACCTTAGAATACCTCTGGCTCTTGTGTGTTAATCTGCACCCCTAATAGTTTGTCCCAGGACTTGCCTCTGAACTGATCCCCTTACCCCTAACTATAGTCAGGAACCCCAGGTTCCTGCCTGGGATTCCTGCCTATAGCTCCTGCCCTCAGCCCTAGTGCCTAATTGCTGCTGATCTTTGCAAATATGGATTCCATTAATCCTAGTTGTCTGCTCATGAGGCTTTAATAGCTTCATCCCCTTAATGATCTCAGAATCCTCCTCTATGCAGCACTCCTTATGATCCCACCCTCCTGTTACTCCTGTGCTGGAGAAAGCCAGTAGTTAGATGTGAACCTTTCTCCCCTTTGATGGCCATATCCCAGAGCAGAAACCTCAAACCTAGGTCACGCAAAGTTAGACTCTGTTCTTCACCCCCACCAAAATAAAATAAGATGGGTAGAAGCGGTATCTGGGTGTTCTTAGCACTCTAACCTGCATCAAAGAAAGGTGGTGGTGTAATAACAGGAGGGCACACTTTGTGGGAGCTTGGAGATGTGATTGTCTGTAACATGGCCTTAAAATCTGCATTTGTAACAAGATCCCAGGTCTGATGGTTAATTTTGTGTATCAACTTAGGCCTACTTAAATAGGCCATGTACCTATCCACATACCCAGATATTTGGTCCAACATTATTCCAAATGTTTCTGTCAAGGTATTTTTAGATGAGATTAGCATTTAGATCTGTCGACTTTGAGTAAAGCAGACTACCCTACAGAATGTGGATTGGCCTTATCCAACCAGCTGAAGGCCTTCAGGAATGAAAAGATTTACCTCCCTTGAGGAAGAGGAAATTCTGCCAGCAAATTGCCTTCAGACTTGAACTGCAGCTCCTCATTGGGTCTCCAGCCTGCCAGACTTCCCTGCAGGCTTTCCAGGCTCCACATTCACTGGAGCCAATTCCTTAAAAAGTACACACACACACACACACACACACACACACACACACACACACACACCTTATTGGTTCTGTTTCTTGGTAGATCCCTGGCTAATATACTAGGTAATACTGAAGCTACTATTTCATCGATCACACTTTGAGCAGCAAGAAACTAGAGAATGTCGGCATGTGGGTACATGGCCTCATCTGTAATCATGGTAATTTCAGCATTGTTTGTAAGAGCAAAACTATAGTAAAAGCAAAAATGTCCATCACCATTAGTCAAAAAAATACATTGTGTTTCATTCTTACAGTGGAATATTCTATAGCCATGAAAATAAATCCCTTAGACCTATAAGAATAAGACTATATATACATATGAAAAATGTAATTTCAGTTCATGATCATATGGAAAATAAAGACACCTACAGTATGAAAATTCATGCATACAACATATATAATACTTTAAGAATGCTTTTATTCACGATAAAATTATAAAGCAATTTATGGAAAATATAAACGCCACATTCTGGTTATGAGTTCCATTTGAAGAGTAAAGGAAGGACAACTGAAATGACGGGATGGGCTCAAACATTTGTCAAGTTTATTGCTTAATCTGGGTAGTAGATACACAAGTGTTCACTTCATGGCTCTCTATAAGATTTTGCATATTTGATGTGTTGGATAAGTAACAAAAATTTTAGAAGCCTAAAGTTTATTCTATCACAAAAGTATACTCATTTTACCAAATGATTCAAATGATTAAAATACAGTTAATCATAGAGAAGAAAATATCAATAACCAGGAATCCCATTGTCACTGGAAAAAAAAAACGTAACGTTTTCCTGTGGTTTATTTTCTTATATTTGGTTTGCTTGCATACGTGCGAATATATTGCATGTATATTGCAGTGACATTTCATAGAACTGTGATATATACATAATTTTGGGGGCTTTATTGTTTTGTTGATGTTTTAATTAATATTAAATAATTTGCCATGGGGACAGTATTGAACTTTGATTTTTATTGAACCATCTACAGATACATTCTCATTTCTTTAATCAGGCATCTTAATGCACTGGTTAGAAATGCCAAATCTGTTATTTATTAAATAATGTTACATATCTGGGACTGCTACTGAGCTTTTATAGTCTTCCTTTAAACTGTATGTCAACTAGTTTGTTCCCAACACAGATGAAGGCGCAGCACCACAGAACAATTACATTGCCTGGCAATGCAAACCTCATTCACACAACTCTCTTTTTGGATGGTTGGGAGGAGTAAGAATAAATACATGAATGATGCAAATGCATATTCATCACTAGAAGATGCTGGACATTTGCTATGGTTTGTCTCCATGTCCCCACGTAAATCTCAGGTTAAATTATTATCCCCAAGTATCGGGGGTGGGGACTGGTGGGAGATGATTGGATCAAGGTAGCAGATTTCCCCCTTCCTGTTCTCTCTTGATAGTGAGTGAGTTTTCATAAGATCTGAT